GGTGAGGAATATTGCACTCCAAGTATTCCCAAGGACCAGGCACTTAGTTGCTCCAGGCAGAAGGCAATCCCATGGTCTTGAAATGCGCAGGAGTGAACGAAGGAGCTGTTCATCAACTTCAGTAACGTGGAATGGAGAGCATACCCTTGTCTGTATCCATGGTGCTGAGGTGGAGATGGTCAAGAGCTTCAAGTTTCTAGGAGTAAAGATCATCAACAATCTGTCCTGGTCCATCCACATTGATGCTACGACCAAGAAAGCACACCAAAGCCTCTACTTCCTCAGGAGGCTAAGGAAATTCTGTATGTCCGCAATAACTTTTACCAAGTTTTATAGATGCACCATAAAAAGCTTTCTATCCAAATGCATCACAGCTTGGAATGGCAACTCCTCTTCCCAAGACTGCAAGAAATTACAGAGAGTTGTGAACATAGCCTGATCCATCACGCAAAGCAGCCTTCCTTCCATTGACTCCATCTATACTTCCTGCTACCTTGGGAAAGCAGCCAACATAATCAAAGACCCATCCAACCCCGGTTATACTTTCTTTCACACTCTTCCATTGGGCAGAAGATGTACCAACAGACCAAAAACAGCTTTTTCCCCACTGTTATCAGATTTTGAATGGACCTCTCATATATCAATGTTGATCTTTCTCTGCATCTTCTGTGTAACTGTAACACTATGTTGCATTCTGTTCTATAACCCTAATGTACTTATAGGTTATGAATTGTCTGGTTAGCACAGAAAACAATACTTTTCACTGTATCTCAGTATATGTGACAATAATAAATCAAATCAAATCAAATCAAAAGGTGCATACAGGGCTGCATTTCATCGCTGTAAACATAGGTGCTCAGTATAAATGGCAAGATAAGAGGGGTCAAGGGATCTCAAGGTCACTCTATGCTCCCCTTCCTCTCTGTGAGACAGGTTGGTATTAGTAAACACCCATATGGAGGAGGACCCACAGATAAAGTTCCCAATAGCTTCCTCTCAGGACACTGCAGGATTACCCAGACCATCCACCACCTGTGATCCCCCGAAGGATGAGCCTCTGTTTAAGCAGAACTCTCTCAGTGCACCTGAGCCCTCAATGTCAAATTCACCTAATGTTGAATGATTTATTGTCACATGTCTTGAAGATACAGTGAAAAGTGTTTTGTTACACTACAAAGAAATTATTTAAATAAGAGTTCATCTTCTGTTCAAATTGCGGTCCTAAGCATGGCTTAAGGACAGCCAAGAGTCCAGACTCTGGGCCTCCCGCTGCTAGGAGACACCGCCAAAAATCAAGGGTCTAGCCCTACTGCCACTGCCAAGAGTCCAGGCCCTGGATCTATTGCCACCAGGGGTCCAGGCCCTCGGCCTATTGCTGCCAGGAGTCCCGAACCACGCTGCTGCAGCCACAGCCCCATTGACACCACTCCACCCTTGATGGCTATCTACTCCCACAGCTTTCAAAACATCTATCTGGAAATCCACTCCTCTGGATGTAAGGGCTTACTCCTCTCCACCTCCTACATCAAGGTCTCCAGTCCTGTGTATGAAAATATTTTTTTTTTTCTGAAGAAGGGTCTAGGCCCGAAACGTCAGCCTTCCTGCTCCTCTGATGCTGCTTGGCCTGCTGTGTTCATCCAGCTCTACACCTTGTTATCTATGAAAAATTGGAACCAGCTCTCTCCCCTCTTGAATCAGAGTCAATCTTCCTCCTGCTCAGTCAGTTCTATAACATTCCAAGCAGGACCAGGGAATTAACGAATGAGAGTTCCAGACTAACTACACAGTACACTCCCTCCACACCCAACAGCAGAGGCCTGGACTGCAAAGAGAAAAACTTAGCTAGGGCACATATGTCATACAGGTGAAACATAATCGTAAAGGATCTTGACCATTTTATTCATTTAAAATGTCTGCTCTCGGGTCTTTTTTGGATCTTAGTTGAGTCATGCCATGTGAGAGATGAGCAGCCTCCTCGGACATCTCACAAGAGAAAGAAGTTGTAACGATGAAGCTTGTTCCTCTTTCAGTATCATTGACTGTAGATAGCCACCCATCGGGGGGATTCTTGAACCATGGCATTCAGGACTGCAGCCAAAGAGTAGCACTTTAATGTGGACAGCCCTGAGGCTAAACGTAGGCTGAGACTGTGTTAGAGCCTGGCATGCACATATTTTCCACACTTATACTCACAAAGTGAGTATAGGAACAATCAGTACTGGTTCCACACATCTCAGGATTGGAAGGTCCACCCAAACACAAGCAGTTTTTCATAGTTGCTAATTCTCCTCCATACGGGTGTCTGCTGGAGACATACAGTTGGCAGCTCACGTGCTCATAGCGTGTTAGCCTGTGAGAGAAGCTGTACAAAGCACTGCCACTTACTAATTTAATGGTGTCTTCCAGAATCTTGAAGCATTTCAGGCCAACTTAGCAGGGCTCAAAAGGAGATGCTTCAGAATCCCCCTTACGTTGCTGCTGATCATGACAGACTTCACTACAGAACACTCTAATATCATCTGCTGAGTATAGCCTTAAGCATTCCTAAGCTTAGAGCCATGTGATGTTACTGCACTATCTCACTAATGGTCAGTTGGATGTGCAGTATATTTGAAAGAGGTATAAGATATGAAGCCTTCAATCAGATAAATAAATGAAACTTTTATTCGCAACAGAAGAAGTCAAAGACAGTAGAAATAACAAGATCCACAATGTCCATTGCATTCAGCTGGACTGCTTGCCACATAAACTATTGAGTGTAAGAATTAAACGATCTTCAAACCCAGCTCATTTATTCGGGACATGATTTTCAATGGGGGTCTCCGAGAGTTGTTGGTCTCTTCAATGTATTGCTCTATCATACATTCTTCACTAAGCAAAATATATCTGCCTCTGTTTTAAGACAATGATTAAAATGGCCATGACATATATACAGCTGCCATCAACCAGTCGCAATGGGACAGGCGGCAGGAAGTATCTGTACATGCTCTGAGGATCCCATCATGTTCCATGTTGCTGAGTGAGGTGGGAGGCTGAGGCTCGGAGTGGGAGTGCAGATGGGAAGGGAGGGGGAAGCCTGCACCAGCGATGGGGAAAGCCAACCCCTCTTTGCATGTGTTTCGTGCATAATTTTCAATGAAACAAAAACATATTTTAAAAATCTGAGGAGCTTTTCCTGCAGTATCATAATTGAGACCAGCTGCGGCTTTCCATCGCTTAACTAATGATGTCGGTGATAACAAGGTGTAGAGCTGGATGTACACAGCAGGCCAAGCAGCATCAGAGGAGCAGGAAAGCTGACATTTCGGGTCTAGATTGTCTTTGCACATGCACACTCTTTGTGGCACCTGCAGGTGGCAATTATATGCGTCACATCCATTTTAAAAATACAAATTCCCAAATTATTACAATCTACAATATGTACCTTTATCATAGGTGTTGCTCAATTCAAGCTGCTGAACTTCTGGTGGTTGTATATTCCAAATGAAGCCCCATTATCTTTCTCAAGCTGATCATTCCATAAGTGACCTTTCACTCCAATTTGTGAAGTAATTACACAAGTGTGAATAAAACTAAAGAATTTTTTCATGCCTCGCTGAGTTTCAGTGCCTACCGATTAAAAATGGTAGTTCTGAGACAGCTGGTTTCGAACATTCCATTTGGGTTAATACAAACCGAAAGAATTGCAGATGCTGTAAATCAGGAACAAAACTAGAAATTGCTGGAAAAGCTCAGCAGGTTTGGCAACATCTGTGAAGAAAAAATCAGAGTGAACGTTGCGGGTTTGGTGACCATTCCTCAGAACAGTTTTGAATGTGAAGGATGCGAAGGACAAACAGGAATTACCTTTGCCACAGTAACATAGGATGCCATTTGTAATTTTGATAAGGTGTACTCAACAATGTTGAGGACATTTCTTGAATAAGTATCAACATCAGCAATAAAGGTGACTCTCCTAACTATAATCAACATTCAGCCAACACCAATCCTTGTTATAGAGCCAGGGTTATACAGCATGAAAACAGACACTTTGGTCCAACTTGTCCATGCCGACCAGATATCCAAAATTAATCTAGTCGCATTTGCCTACATTTGGCCCATATCTCTCTAAATCCTTCCTCTTCATGTATGCATCCAGATGTCTTTTAACTGTTGTAATTGTAGCAGCCTCCACCACCTCCTCTGGCAGCTCATTCCTTACATGCACCACCCTCTGTATGAAAAAGTTGCCCCTTCGGTCTCTTTTAAATCTTTCCCCTCTCACCTTAAACCAATGCCATCTAGTTTTGGACTGTGCTATCCTGGGGAAAAGACCTTGGCTATTCACCCTATCTATGCTCCTCATGATTTTATAAACTTCTATAATGTCATCACTTAACCTCCGATAGTCTAGGGATAATAGCCCCAGCCTATTCAGCCTCTCCAGAGAGTTCAAACCCTCCACCTTCCTCAGACCACCCAGGAGAATATATTTTAAGGCCCAAATGAAGCATGGGCTCTATTTTGTGAATTAGTTACTAATTTTCTACCTTGGATAGTAGCTGGAATGTCTGTTTCAGGGGCAACACATTTCCTGAGTCAGTGGATCTATTTGGATGGATGTAAAACACTTCAAATTCAAATTTCTTGTTTCCTGGGAATTAGCAACTTCAGACACTGGATTGCTCCAGTCCATTGACACTTCAACTTGTCAATGAGAATACTGAAGTATGCTATGTCCTTTTGGGGTATGTCATTTCACACAGTTCCAATCCCAGGATGAAAAAGAAGGATCTAATTTTCAACAAGGAAGAAGGTTAAGTTACATAGATCATACTCAAGATGTTCCACTTTCCCAGCTGCTATCTCTCCGGGGAGAATTCTGATTTTAGGAAATAGCGAAAAATGTTTCATCAGCAGCTGCTTTTACATCCTTTCTGATTTTTAGTTCCATGTGGACATTATCTGAACACCGTTTTTCAGAGGTCTAGTCTATTACATTGTAAACCCGCTTAATTTACCTGACTGGGTGTGATCTTTTCTCCACTGAATAGCTGGGCTCCACTCACTCCACAGCTTAGCGCTGGCACAATACTGGTTAATCTTACTTCGCACTTGAAAGGTGTAGAATTTCTTTGGATCCACACTTGGCAAAATATACTTTGTTTGCGCATTGATGACTTGCACCTAGACAAAGAAATTCAGAGAAAATGGCATGTAATCAGAAGTGAAGATAATATTAAAATCTCAGTTCATAGGTAAACAATGTGCCTCCAGGCTGTTGCTATTTACACTGGTAAGGAATTCCAGATCACCATTTTCTCACATCCTCAGTAACTAGCTGTTGATAACACAAGGAGAAAGGGACAATCCAAGCTCCCCTGAGTTGAAGCATCATGGATAATTAAGAAAAGAACAATTTCAAAATCCAATTTCAATCAGATTTTTCTTTCAATGCCCATGTCCCACTGAGGCCAAAAATGTAAATATATGCACTGATCAGCTAAATATTCATCAGGCTAAGGTCTATTTTTAGTTAATATTTTATATTTGCTCCTTGATGCCATACTCATTAAATGCTGCCTCATTGTCAAGGGCAGTCAAACTCACATTACCTCGACAGTTCAGCTGTTTTGTCCTTGTCTAGACTAAGGCTATAATAACGTCAGGAGCCAAATGGCCTGGATGCAACTCAAATGCAGTGTCAGTGAGCAGGCTAGTGCTGTATAAGAACCATTAGTTAGCACTGTCAACAAGTCCATCCATCACTTTGCTGATGATCAAGAGAAGGCTGGTGGGGCAGTAATTGGCTGGATTGGATATTTCCTGCTTTTTGTGAACAGAATGTACCTGGGTCATATTTTACATTGTAATATGAGATCTGCACACAAGAATGGCAAAAAGATCTTGAAACAGGGATTCTTTATTCCACTGGAATCAGGTCATTACACAAATTAAGAGAAAGTAAGCGTCAACAAGGAAAACACTATATTTAGATGGAACAAAACATGTAGTTGCGTCTGGTTAAGGGAATGCTTTTTATGGTTAATTGATTTTCCTATGAGGTCTCCTTCCCCCAAAAGATACTTTCCTCCAAGGAGGGTCTGTTTGACTGCTCCAGTGCGCTGCTTGGTTCCCTCCCTCACCATCGCCACCTGCTGCTGAAGGTTTTTTGCATACAGTTCTGGTCACCACATTACCAGAAGGATGTGGATGCTTTGGAATGGGTACAGAAAAGGTTTACCAGGATGTTGCCTGGTGTGGGGGATTTTAGCTATGAAGGAAGGTTGGAGAGATTGAATTTGTTTTCACTGGAACACAGGAGTTGGGGCAACCTAATAGAAGTTTATAAGATTGTGAATTGCATGGATAGAGTGGAAGTATGAGGTTTTTTCCCAGGGTGAAGGAGTCGATTACTAGGGAACACAAGTTCAAGGTGAGAGGGGGTGAGTTTAAAAGAGATGTGCGAGGCATGTTTTTCACACAAAGGGTGGTGAGTGCCTGGAATACGTTGCCAGAGGAGGTTTGTGGAAGCAGACACAATAGCAGCATTCAAGAAACACTTGGACGAATACATGAATAGGAAGGGAATAGAGAGATATAGATCCTGTAAGTGAAGACAGTTTTAGTATGGAATGGTAAAATGTGTTGGAGCAGGCCTGGAGGGCCAAAGGACCTGTTCCTGTGTTGTATTGTTCTTTGTTCTTTGTTCCATTATGCACTTCCCTGTTTGGGCCATGCCATCTCAGTGAGTATGCATTGTACACACTAACCATTTATGAAGCAGTTTCGTGAACAACAGATTCAATTGCACCATGAAGGCTAGAATGTTTGAGTCTATATCACTGGCAGCAATTTCTTCTTTCATCACCAACCTGGACAAACTGTAGGGGTTGTGGTGATATCCAGTATTTTCTCACAACAGCCTTCTCAAACTCTTCTTTGTACTGGTATCTTCTATTAGCTCCAGGCTCTGTGGTAGACCACCCACATTGGGATCTAGGGTGGTCAAGTCACCAAGAATTGCGGGATCTGTAATTTATTATTCCATTTTCAGCCTCCTGAAAGGCCACTCCTGCTCCATTTTCAAGGCCAGAGTAGGCTTCCCATACTGAATGTACCTCCTTGATTCACAACACACAGGTCTCTCCAGGAGTCCTCATCAGTATCCACTTCCATTTCACTCAAGCAATGATGCAGTGATACTTCAGGTTCCACAACGAGTTTGTTTTCAAACCATTCACCAGATGTCTGGCGCCAAGCAACTCGCTTCCCTCACTGTCTCAACTATCAGCTCCACAACATACATGTGGCCACCTATGTCAAGCCATTTGATGACTCTTTGGAGTTCAGCATCCCAGACATCTATATCTTATTCCAAGCCCTGATATTGCAACTTCAGAGGAATAATCTTGCACTGAATCATTTCTGTCAGCCTTCCGATTGATCTCAGTGCTTCTCTATCAGTCCCCATTGATGTTATCTCAAATGCCTGGCTTAGCCTTATGTGATGCTCAGCTACCCACTCATGGATCTGGCCATCCCGATCAGAAGGCATGAGGAGCCCAAGGAGATGGTCTGTAGTTAGGACTTAGCCATGTCCAAATAAGAGATATTGTGGTGAATAGCCTGTGGAAGAATGTGGGATGCTATTATAAGCCTAAGCCATCTTTAGAAAGCACTCAGGTCACAAGTTTACTCTCATGAGGCCAGGCGGATGGATGGTCATACAGAATATGGCTGAATTATTTGCACTGTCCATTACCCTCTGAATGATAGGGGATGGTGCAGCCCCTGGCAATGCCATAGACCTTGCAAAGCGCCTGTAGGATCTTGGTCTCAAAGTTTCACCCTGATCATTGTGAATCCAACATGGAACATTGAAATAGACAAATATTCAGGTACTAACATTCTGGCTAAGTTGAAGTCGTTTGGCCAGGGATGGGAATGACCTCTGTGAAGTTGGTGATGACATCTATGAGTACAATTACATGCTTGATTCCATTACTGATGAGGAGAAGGACTACAAAATCTACTGTAATACTTCTAGAGGTCTCTTGGTGACCAGGGATCCTAGATTGGGGCAAAGATGCTTCCCTGCTTTGGCTAAAGCACAGCTCTCACGTTGCGAGTGTAATTGTTAATGTCAGGTATTCTGGGCCAAAAATGCCACACTCTGATCAGGGCAGAAGTCTTTTCTGTCACTTGGAGTCTTGTTTGATCATGAACTATTACCAACACTTGAGGCTGTCAGGAAGGATGAGCTGCTTCAGTATTCTCTTCCTACCATGAACCAGCTGATAGAGTACGCCATCATCTTCCCTGATCCTCTTTCAGCACTTAAACAGTTTCCATGCCTATATGGATTCCCTCGTCACTGGCTCTGGGTTGTTGGATGTTGGGCCTTCCAGTAATGGTGCAGTCTGCTGCTGTTTGTATTAATCAGCTGAAGCTTTCTGAAGTTCTCTTTTGAAATAGATGGCAAAGGTGAAACCAAACCTAGCTCTATCAGTCCAGACCGGGTTTAAATCTCATTCATAATTGCAACAGGGACACTGCACTGAATCATAGTCAGAATGTCATAGGGAATTGGGGTTGGAATGCTGCCTTTGACTTAGGACAAACACCCATCCAACTGTACAGGGGTGCGGTCCCTCCTATGGTCAGTCTTCTGACTAAAGCCATCAGCATTGCATTATTTTTGATTGAACTGTACTGAATCTGGAATCAGAATTGAGCAGGCTCAGGAATCCATTAGCTCTCTATTGATTCAACCTCAGCAGAAATTTAATAATAGCTGAATGGTTTGCAGTCTATAAAGGCTTCTGTACCAAACATCTCTTAATTTCTGGGGAATCAACAGTTTGAGTTTCATACATGAGCAGTTCTACATATTCCACTTGATCAGTTTAGGACTCTGACTGACATTAGCGATAGATCTCATTTTTCTGTTTCTCTTCCTAATGAGGGCTATAGGGGAGGTGTATGGATGTGATGAGTCTTCAATGACACCTTGCTCCTAAATTCTCTGCAAGATTTGACTGAGACAACGCATCCATAATCGTTCAAGCCAAACAGAGACATGCCAGGGAATTCCTGGAAGCCTGGTATTGTAAGCAGAACTCCATCAACAAACACATTGAATTAGACCCTGTGTACAAACCACAGAGAAACAGAACTGGAAGTGGTACCAAACAACCTAACAAACTGAGGCATATAAATAATAAGCGGGACAGAACTCTGATGCTTCACCGGAGGCGCACTGACGATGTTGCCTAGCAGGGTGACAATATGGTTGCAACCAAACCCTCTGGCTCGGCGAACATATCTACAACCTCATACACAATCCAAGCTACAAATCTTCTCGAAAAGTTTGGAGAAACCCTTTATCTATCGGATTCTTCTCTGCATCAGGCTACCTTTCTCCAAAGACACCCCTTGGCTAGAGAGAATCCCATTCAACTGCACCTCCTGCCCTGCTCAGTGCCCTCCCTCACCATTGCCACTTACTACTGGAGATATCATTACAACATAGTTTGGCTGGATGCCGTTGTTGTAGCAGGACTGGAATAGCTTGGCTAGAGCACAACTAATTCTCTAGCATGTGCTTTCAATACTATTGCTAGGATGCTGCCTGGATCCATAGATTTTGCAATATCCAGTGCTTTCAGCCATTTCTTAATATTATGTGGACTGAACTCAATTAGCTGAAGATTGATATTTGTGATGGTGGGACCTCCTGAGGAGGCTGACGTGGATCACCTACTCAACATTTCTTACTGAAGCAGGTTGGAAATGTTTCAGCTTTGTGCACCGATTTGTTGGGCTTCCCTATTATTAAGAAGGGTAACACTGGTGGAGATTCCTCGCCCTGGTACCTGCCAATCTTTATCTTTATTACTGCAGTGCCGGATTTCATACATTCGACATTTCAGTAGCTTTGCTGGTGGGTCCCAGGTCAAAAAGAGCTCGTTGTTTTCTGACATATTCAGCATCAGGTTTCCAGGAGGGTTGAGTTTCACTGAAAGGAATGAATTGAGTTTTTGCTGTTATTAAAGTAGACTATTTCAAGAACTTTCAGAGACTAATTCTTTCAGAAAAAGCAAACTGTTGGACAATCTCGCATTCCTTTACCACTGGTGTCCCTGAAGCATCTGCCCTTGTATCCATCCTATGTCTTATCTATGCATTGTTCCTGAATTACTGACAAAGGGAAGAATCTTCCCAGGCCCTGAATGATTGGAGAAATTTGGGAAAATTTGGCGCAATGTCAAAACGAGGACCCTCACCATGTTCATATTAAGAAGTCTCATTTTCCAACCTATTCCTGGAGGTTCAGACAAGATTCTGCAACGCAATGCTGCAGCAAGGATACCTTTCCTCCAGATAAATAAGGCACACTGCTGCCACAAACTGAGGATGTCCCAGGACTCTATCACAGAACTGTGCCAACTGCTGGAGGGGAACCGGAAGGGGTGGACCAACCAATCCTGGTAGCCATCAAAGGTGACTGGTGATCTTTTATGTGACTGGTTCCTTCCATGGAACTGCAGGGAGCTGTGTCATGTAAGGACTGTGTATTTTTATATTGTTTTCTCAAAAAAAATGTGGTCTGAAATGAAAAGGTAGTGCTTTAAAACCAGGGAGGAGGATGAAGACTTTGAGCAGGAGGAACGTCACTTTCAGCATGATAGAGTGCAGCAAATCCAATTAATGATAACCGGATGTAGTGATATAAACAAGGAATAACAGTAGGCCATTTGGCCCTTCGAACCTGCTCCTCATTCAACAAGATCATGGCTGATGTGATATTAAACGCAACGCTACATTCCTGTATATTCCCTGATAGCCTTTCATCCCCTTGGTCATCAAAAATCTATCCACCTCTGCCTTAAAATTATTTAAAGCTTCTGCATCCACTGTCTTTTGAGGAAGGGAATTCCAAAGACACATAGAGCAATATGTTCCTTATCTCTGTTTTAAATGGGCAGCCCTTTATTTTTAAACTATAGCCCATAGATTCTCTCACAAGAGGTAAAATCCTTTCAGCATACACCTGGTTGAGTCCCCTCAGGATCTTGTATGCTTCCATTAAGTCAGTTCTGACTCTTCTAAACTCCAGAGGATACTGGCCTGGCCTGACTAGCCTTTCCTCATAAGACAATTCACCGACTGCAAAACTGTTGGTGCTCTCGTTGTTTGATTGTTATTCGCTTTTGGTGATTGCAAATAAAAGTAAATGATCTGAGGTAACTAAAGGACTTGCGGCTTATGCTGGTCCACATTGAACAATTATAAGATGCTGGGCTACAGCGGGCTTTGGGGAAGAAGTCATGGTGAGAGGAAATGTGGCTAAGAACTGCTAGGTTGTGCGTCCCTGCGCCGAAGATGCTATTGGGTTGGGGATGTCAGCTAAGAGTCAGCAGTGCCACCTATGTGGCATGAGAGGCATTGTTTGTGGCTACTGTATTATTGTATTGAGGATGAAAGACAACTCCGGACTGCCTATTCTTAACCAGATGCACACTGGTTAAGTCAAACTTATGATGGTACTGCATCAAAGATGGTGCCATACCAAGAATCCCTGAATATCCTGACCGTGACAAGTTTTTCTGTCTATGGTGAATGTGAGAATTGTGCTATCATCAGTCAAAAATGGTGCCATTAGACTTTGGTATTCAAATAAGGAAGCATGTCCAGGACGATTGCACAAGAAAATTCGCCAGGTCTCGCAGAGAGAAATCCTCCACAAAACTTGATAAAACTGAAGCTTAGCAAAGTAAGTGTAAGATTCAGCCCTAGTTTATTTACCTTGGTTCTGTAGCTGGAATGTTTTAGTTAAGGCCAACACTTTTCCTGAGTTACTGGATCCATTTCTGTAAACATTAAAGTTCTCAAATTCGATAATTTCGTCTTTTGAGAAATAGCAACCAACATTATAGCCATTTTCTTGGATGTAGTTCCCACATTCCTTCTGTGGTTTTGAAAGATACCTGTACAGGATGAGAAATGGTTATTTCTAGTTTATAAGCTGGAAATTCAGGTGAAAATCTTTATATGCTAAAAAAGTTCTTTAAACAAAGAGACTTATTCATAACTTTCTCAAGAAATCATTTCTTTGCCTTTGAGAGTGTAGTCAATGTTTTAATGAAGGAAAAGCAGCAGCCAATAATACACGGCAGACTCTCAGAAACCAGATAATCCATTTTTTATTATCTGTTTCTCAGGTTATCTCAGGATAAATATTGGCCAGGTCATCAGGTAGAACTATCCTACTGCTTCTTCAATGTAATGTCAGGAAGCTTTTACACCAACCTGAGACAGCAGATGTCCCATTCATAAGATAAATCCTTTGTGATTCTTTGCCAACATTAAGTTTCAATGTCGTGATACAGATTTGTGCATGGAGTCTCAGATGAGGCAACTTCAGTTTACAATTTAAATGTTTGAAGTGACTGTATTAGGAATTCATATTCTATCATCTTTAAAGTTAATAATAAGTCCTTCAATTTTCTGCCTAGTTTGGCTGATGACTCCCATATTATTTATCTCAACTATTTCATGCAGGAGCAAGTTCTACATTCTGGTCACTCTCTGGATAAAGAAATTTCTCTTAGATTACTTATTTAATTTGTTTTATTCATTCATAGGATGAAATCATTACGAGTTGGGCCACAGTTAATGGCTGTTCTTAATTAGCCAGAGGGAAGATAAGAGTCAATCATGTTGTTCTTGGATCTTGATTAGCATGAAGGCCAGACTACATTATTATTAACATACATTGTTTGAAAACAGCACCCCAAACCTTGACTATGCACCCTGAAGAATAGAAATGACTTCTCTCCATCAAACCTTTCACCATTTTAAAGCTCACTATCAGTTCATCTTTCAGTCTGTCATAGTTTGAGTGAAAGCAGGCCTATACAAAAATCACAATGTTATCAAAATAGAAATATAAGTTATCACCAGAGGAATACTTAAATGTTTATGTGACATTCCTCCATCCTTTAACGTAATGAGGTTTTAATTCATTTGTTTTAAATAATTAGTACCACTTCTAACATTCAGAAAACATCATCGATATATTGAGGCTGCTATAATGCTACAGACATGAGAAGATGTTTCTTCTTGGGGGGCAATCTAGAATGAAAGGTCATAGTTTTAGGAGAAGGAGTTGATGAGGAGAAATTACTTCCCTCAAAGGGCCACAAATTTGCTGCATTCACTATCCCAGAGTATAATAGATGCCTGGAAACTGAGTAAATTTAAGGAGAAGATAGATACATTTTAAATTAGTAATGGGTTGAAGGGTTATAGGGAACAGGCAGGAAAATGGAGTTGACTTGGTTGATGATCTTATTGAATGGTAGAGCAGGCTAGAGGGGCTAAATTGTTTACTCCTGCTCCTAGTTCTCATATGTTCTTACAACCTCTAACCGGCAATGTTGTGACATGTTTCTATATAGAGAAAACAATGATGCTGGTTGTGTTTATGGTCAGATCTGCTGATACCAATTTATTTTTTATTTGTTTTGCTGTATTTCATTTCCTGCATTTTATTTTCGGAAGCGCTGATTATTCTGACTACAAAAGTCATTAAGTAATCCATTTTTAGGGGTCCAGCGTTGCAGCTCTATAAGTGACCACTCAACAGCAGACAAGAGCACACAGGATAGCCGAAGCTTTCCCACATTTCAGAAGTTCATAGAATCTCTACAGTGTAGGAAAAGGCCATTCAGCCCAAAAAAATCCACACCAACCCATGTAGAGCATGCCACCCTTTCCCTGTAACTCCACACTTCCCATGGCTAACACAGCTAATCTACATATCCCTGAACACTATGGGCAATTTAGCATGGCCAATCCACCTAGCCTGCACATCTTTGGACTGGGTGGAAACCGGAGCACCCAAAGGAAACCCACTCAGACACAGGGAGAACGTGCAAACTCCACACAGACAGTTGCATGAGGGTGGAATCAAATCCAAGTCCCTGGTGCTGTGAGGCAGCAGTGCTAACCACTGAGCCACCATCTTGGCTTTACTTTAGCATTTCACCAAAATGACATGTATAACAGCAATTGACTCTCCCCAGTGGCTCTTGTCCTCGCCTAAGATTTTGTCAATTTTTTTTTCACCTTGTCCCCTTCTTCCTCTGCTAGAGACCACCACACAAGTATAACCAATATTAATTATTGTACTAATGGCTGAAAATTTCAAAAACAAAAATGATTTTGAATGTACTAGCCTGTGATGTATGGCAATGTATCTAGTTGTGGTAAATAATGTCTCCAGCTTGGTACTTCTCAGTAAGATCTGTTTCATTAGAATTGGGTTGTCTTCATTTAAAAGCAGACCCTGCCATTTTTACTTGCATCATAAGGGTGAGCTTTCAGTTCTGATTATGCATGTAAATGATTTTTTTTGTGGGTAGGAGCATGTGCTAGAAACTAGTAAATCACATCATCCTGAGGGCCTAAACAGATCAGAGGTGACTTCAGAGATAGTCAAAGCTGCAGAGGTAGTGGGTGTATTGGTTTTGTTCAATTAGGCAAAAATATGGCAGATAGAATGTGATGTGGCAAAGTGTAAACTTATTTACTTGCATAGAAAGAATGAAAAAGTAAAACTTTTTTTGCAAGATTAGAGACTAATAATTGTTGGTTTCAGGCGGATATAGGGAGCTTTGTACATGAATCACAGAAATTTAACATTCAGGTCCAGTAAACAATTTGAAAGGTAACTGATACATTAGCCTCGCCAGAGAGGTGGAAGAGATGAATAAAAAAAGAAGTCTTACTATTAGTTATGTGGGGTTTTGAAGAGGCTGTGTACAGTTTTGTTCTGATTACCTTAGGAAGAATATTCTGACCTGAGAGGGGTGCACCAAACATTCAGTAGACTGATTTTTTTAAGTTGAAGGATTGTCATTGACCAGAATGAGCCTACATTCTCTAAAGTTTAGAAGGAGAAATGGTGATTTCAATGAAATATAAATTTCTTAGAGGGCTTGACCAGACAGACACTGAGAAGTTGTTTTCCTTTGTCTGGAAATATGTGGTTGGCTATTTAAAACTGAGATGAAGAGAAATTTCTTCACGCAGTGTTGTGATTTTTTTGGCATTTGCTACCAATAAGTGTTGTTATCAGTCTGTGACTACAGTCAAGTGTGAAATCATTAGAATTTGGCACTTGTAAAAAAATCAAGGAATGTAAATCAAGGGAAGTAAAATTTATGTATAAGTTCAGACATGATCCTATTATAAAAAAAAACAGAAAATGCTGGCAAAACTCAGCAGGCCTGGCTGGGTCAGTGGAGAGAAAAACAGAGTTCATGTTTTGAGTTCAATATAACTGCTTGAAAGAAGAGTCACATCAGATTTGAAACATTAAGTCTGATTCTCACCCCACAGATTCTGCCGGACCTGCTGAGTTTCTGTAACATTTTCTGTTTTTGTTTCAGCTTTCCAAACTCCACAGTATTTTGCTTTGTGACCTTATTGAATACTGGGTCGAAGATATGAAATGTTACATGGTTTACTGCTACTCATATTCCCTATGTTTTATTATGATTATGGATATTTTATTACTCATTATTAATTATCATTATGCTTTCCTTATTAAAAGAAACAGTAACTTGGTTACCAGAGCGTCATGCTACCAGTCTGCACCCTGTCTTATTTCTCCTCACGTGAGATCAGTTCACTGAACACTGAGCAGGAAACGTAGCTTGAGACATTTACTGCCCCACACAGCTCAGTATCCCAGTGGGCAGTGTATTTGCTGATCAGACTCTTGGAGAAACTTTCCAATATCACAGGAGATTCACCAGCTCTGCAGTGCACTTCTGAATCAATTTCTATCAGAACAAATACTCCACAAACACTTCCACCCGATCAGCAGACTCACCAGTAAAACAGGGTGTAGTTGGCTTCCTCGTCAATGTGGTTCCATCTGCACTCCATAAATTCCTCATTGTAGACAATGCAACTCACATCTACAGGTAAAGCAGACTACACTCTTACAAAAACAGAATTCTACAAATGCCTCAAATGTGAAACATTAACAGAAAATGCTGCAATTAATCAACAGGTCTGGCAGCATCTGTGAAGTGAAAAACAGAGTTAACATTTCAGTTCTGTAACAATTCATTAGAGTCCACAGTGACCCATCAAAAACATAGATACTAAGCAAGAAACCCAACATTACCATGCAATACGCTAAATACGCAAAGGGAAAATAAAATGTTATTTCTTCTCATCTTTAAACCATAACCAAAGCATTTTTGTGCCGATCTCCCACATGTTTTTCTTTGAATAGACAGTGTTGAAAACATTGCCGGTGAACTGAGCATGAATAACACTGCGGAAAATGTGGTGGAAGAAGAAGAACAGTATCACAGAATCACAGAACCGTTATGATGCAGGAGGGTACCATTCAACCCATTGTATCTCCAACAGCTCTCTGAGCATTTTAAGTTAGCACCAATCTCCTGCCTTTTCTCCATAACCCACTTCTTTGGATGATTTAAAAGGAAACATGCCCTTTTGAATGCCTCAGTTGAACCTTCCTCCCCTATACTTTCGGCAGTGCATCCCAGACCCCAATTACTCATTTTCTGAAAAAGTTGTTCCTCGCATCATATTTGCTTCCTTTGCAAACCTCTTCAAAAGCCGTGTCCTCTGGTTCTAGATCATTTCATGAGTAGGAAACAGTTTCTCCGTATCAACTCGATGTAGACCCCTCATGATGTTGAAAACTTCAATCAGGCCTCCTTTCAGCCTTTTTTTCATAAAGAAAAATAATCCTTTCTCGATTATCCCTGGAACCATTCTCAGAAACATCTTCTGCACTATTTCCAAATTATACATATTTATCCTGGAGTGTGGAATCCAGAACTGTGCATGATACTCCAGTTGAGATCCAACCAGTGTCCTGTACAAATTCATCAGAACCTGCCTGTTACTGTTAACACAGTGTGGAGCTGGAAGAGCACAGCAGGCCAGGTAGCATCAGAAGAGCAGGAAAGTTGACGTTTCAGGTCAGGGCCCTTCTTCAGAAAATTAAGAAGGGTCCCGACCCAAAACGTCAACTTTCCTGCCCCTCTGATGCTGCCTGGCCCACTGTGCTCCTCCAGCTCCACACTGGCTGATCTCTGATTCCAGCATCAGCAGTTCTTACTATCTCCCTGTTATTGTGTTCTGTATGCATATTAACGAAGCCTAAAGTGTTGAATGTTTTATTAACAGCTCTCTCTACTTGTCCTGAAATCTTTTAGTGAATTACATACATATACTCCGAGGTCTTTGCTGCATATCCTTTAGGATTATACCTTTTCCTTTCATAAAATACAAAGCATCATCTATGGAGAGAGAAACAGAGTTAACATTTCAAGCCCAGTAAAACTGTTGCTATCACAGATGCTGCCAGACATGCTGAATTTCATAAGAACATAAGAACATAAGAACTAGGAGCAGGAGTAGGCCGTCCAGCCCTTCGAGCCTGCTCTGCCATTCAATAAGATCATGGCTGATCTTCTCGTGGACTCAGATCCACTTACCCGCATTCTCACCGTATCCCTTAATTCCTTTATTATTCAAAAAAAATCTACCTTATCTTTAAAAACGTTTACTGAAGTAGCGTCAACAACTTCACTGGGCAAGGAATTCCATAGATTAACAACCCTCTGGGTGAAGAAATTCCTTCTCAATTCAGTCCTAAATCTGCTCCCTCTAATCTTGAGGCTATGCTCTCTTGTCCTAGCTTCATCTGCCAGTGGAAACATCCTCTCTACTTCTATCTTATCTATTCCCTTCATAATTTTATACATTTCTATAAGATCCCCCCTCAATCTTCTGAATTCCAATGAATATAATCCCAATCTACTCAGTCTCTCCTCATAAGCCAACCCCCTCAACTCCGGAATCAACCTA